ATGGGAACTGTTAATTAACTCTCTGATTGCACAGGGCTGATCAGTGGGATCAGACTCCTAGTGGCCAAAGAGTCACATCTCCTTCAGCTAACTTGAAAAGTAAGTAGGAGATGCTATGGCCGGAGGTGAAGCATTTTGAAGCAAACAATCCATTACAGAAAAGCAGCAGAAAGAAGTTCAGGATTTAAGCCCTGGAAAATATATATCCAGAGAACCAGATTCTTAGCTTTTGTTTAAGCTGCTCTTTGTTATAACTCAGGCTATCTTTGAAGGCAATAAAGTATTTAGTCTACTACTCAAATCAAATTGTCTACTTCTTGTTTTTTGGTAAGAACATTGAATCCCAGTGAAAATTATTTCAGAGGCCTCTGGGCACTGTCAGAACAGATTCCCGCACTGATAAGGAAGCTGGTAGCTGTTGTGTAAACATTATCCAGGTGCAGGCCAGCTCATCTTCTCAGAAACTGCGGACTTCAGCTCCCTCAACAGAAAGTATGAGGGAAAAAAAAACAGGTAGAAATGAACTGCCCTTTGAATTATGTCTTACCTTTGAAAATAAAAGTTCTGGATAGAAAATTATGCTGTCAACTTAAATATTTTTTTTTCCTTCATAAAACTTAATCAGAGATCACAGAGCCTGTTTGCAGTCTTGCCTATAGTTACAAGAGTTCTGACAGGTATCTCTAAACAGCTGGTGCTGTTTGTGATGAAGGAGAATCTTTCCTGTTCTCCCCCAGTGATTTAAGAGCTCCTGGCATTGCTTTTCATGCTTCTAACACTTGGCAGTCTCCACTTCCATGTGAAATATTGGACAGAAAGGCTACCCAGTAAAGTGGGGGAACTTTTCTCAGTTTATTGGCAAGCCCCGATCAACCCATTGATCACTGCGCTATTTTATGTGTTGTACCTTATGATTCTTGACTCTTGATGAATGTATCTTTTCTTTTATGTATACTGAGAGCACATGCACCAAGACAAGTTCCTTGTGTGTCCAATCACACTTGGCCAATAAAGAATTCTATTCTATTCTACTCTACTCTACTCTACTCTACTCTACTCTACTCTACTCTACTCTACTCTACTCTATTCGCCAGGAAGCCTCCACCTACCTATAGATCAGCTGCACTGACAGATCTGCACAACAATGGTGGGAGCTTCATAGCAATGCCAGAGACTCTCCATTTTTTTTCCAGGAAGCCTAGTCTACAGAACAGCAGACTTGATACCATCTTTTAGCAGCTGGCTAAATCCTTTGGTGGTGCAGTGGTTAGAATGCGGTACTGCATTTCTACTCACTGCTCACTTCAGGAGTTCGATTCTGACCAGGTCAAGATTCATTCAGCCTTTCGAGGTCAGTTCCCAGATTGTTGGGGCAATATGCTGACTCTTTAAACCACTTAGAGAGACCTGTATAGCACTATGAAGTAACATATAAGTCTAAGTGCTGTTGCTATTATGTCTATCCATCTTCAAAATTTGTCTCCTCCAACTCCAGCCCAACCTTTTATTAGGGACAGCAATGGCTAAACATTTCTCCCACCATCAAGTAATATGCACTGAGGGGGGAAATAAAGATGGGGAAACCACCTATTTTTTTCCTAATTAGTCCCACATCAAATTTGTAAGGATAGCTAATTATATAAGGACAACACCAGTCCCTGGTCTCATCCCTGAGGGTGAATAGGACACAACAGTCCAGGAAGAGCAGTTTGCACTATCATATTTCTCCATCAACTTAGACTGGAAGAATGCACTTTAATGTGGATGTGAGAAAGAGCCTTTTAACATATCTAATTCAGGCAATCAAAATGCTGGGCTAGATATTCTTTTAGTAATAGGGAGAAGGGGGCAAATTGAGTTCCAAAAGCTCACTTGTAAGATTCTCTGCCTTCGTGTTACTATTTGAATATTCAACATATTTTTAAAAACTGTATGGCCTAAATATTCCCAAACTGAGAAGCTATATTTATGTTCTATCCCCCCATATATGTTAAACTTTTAGCTCTTTAGAGATAAGAGGAGTGCACTTAAATTATGCAGACTAAAAATCAATAGTCTAAAGAGGACAGTAATGCAACAGAAAGGCATAACCACAGGTTAGTATAATTTGAGTCTATAGCCTATAGTCTATTCATTTACATCAGTATCTGTATTTCAGAGCTCTCAAACGTAGCTGGTTTAGTCACAGACTATGTATAGTTCACATTTCTGCAGTTATATGCAATGATATAATTGCGGTAGTTGGAACTTGTTTGCACTGTGATGTTCTAGTTTTTTCCTTCAGCTTTTCAACAATAATTCTGCTTTAGGTAAAGGAACGATGAATGTTTTGCTTCCCAGTGCAAGTACTTCAAGTCCTCTGGGCTTTATAGACAGAAATTACAACCGACCTCAACCTGTTTCAATCCAGATCTGAACATATTCCAGGTAGTTTCAGGCCAAGAGTCAGTATTGGAACTACCTTTATCATCCTGATGGGTGACCTGACCTACTCTACAGGAAAGATGGAGGGTACAGCTCTATTGATCCTCCTGGATATCATTTGAATCCTTCCACCATGGTACGCTGCTAAATTGGGGCTGGCTGGATTAGGAGGCATGGTTTCCCATCCTCTTTATATAGTTACACTAGAAGGCTTCCAGTTGACCTGTTGCTGGGCTGTGGTGTCCTACAGGGCTCCATTAAATCACCCTTATTCTTTAAAATGTATATGGAACAGTTCTGAGGTAATTAGAATATTGGGAGAGAAGTTGGGATTGGGCGTTCTATTTATGTTGTTAGTTAGGGGAGGTGGGAGAGATGAGACAGGGCAGGGAATGGATCAATATATGCATGATGTAAAAAGCTGCATGAAGGCCACTAAAGTGAAGAAGCAATAGGAATAAAGAAAGTCCAAGGGCAATAGCACATCTTTAAAGAACTTACAGAAGCTTCTAAGCTGAGCTTTATGATGGCATGAGTTATTATTTGAATGCAGTCCACAATCACAACTACACAAGTGAGCTGTCTCTTACCAAACATTAACTAGTTTGAAACCATAGTTTAGTTTGCATCACTATTTTACAATTTTACAATTTACAGTATAGAAATTACTTCCTGCCCATCCTTTTCTAAGATTAACCCTGCAAATTATCCAGTGCGCTGACCAGTACTCTCAGTGAACACAACTATCTTAATGAACACAATTATCGTAATGAGCACAAATATCTTAAATTAAAAATTAATTTTGATGTCTTTGTGAAATAGATTTAATGATTGTTTCTTTTCTCATTTTATCACAGGAGCATTAATGTAAACTTTAAGCATATCCCAAATGGCACAGATCAGAAGCAGATATTTTCTTGCTCCAAGAAAATATCTGCTTCTGATGGTATTCTGAAGTATTCCCCCCCCACCCGCCACACACAAATAGTACAGTATATTAATGACAAGTTTGATGTCTTCTGAAATTAATTTCACCATCAAATTATTAAAAACAAAATAAGATGCACTAGATCCGTTAATGAGAACAAAATGGTAAACTACTATTATATGATTCCTGGGAAGATGACTTGAGGGCCAGCTGCAAACTTCAGGAATTGGTTAAAGATTTGTTTTTTGTTTTTTCTGTAGAAGTAGAGTTCTTACTGCCCTTGACAGAAATATAATAAATGTTTTGATACTTTATCACTTTATAACTACTGGTCTCTACCCTCTCATATTTGATCTTTTTCTGAACATTTTAACAGATCTAAAATAAAGGTAGCATACTTTTTATCATGAGTTGACTGGAGGTGAGCAGTGCCCACATCAAGATAGATAGATAGATAGATAGATAGATAGATAGATAGATAGATAGATAGATAGATAGATAGATAGATAGATAGATAGACAGACAGATATTCTTGTTCATACCCCTCTGAACAATGGAAATCAGTGGCAACACTGAGGCTAGCCTGAAGTAGAGGGCTGGACCACTGCTGCCACTCAAAAAGGCCATTTTGTGCTGTACTACAAGCCACATGAGCCTTGGGTATTGGCATGATTGCCCCTGCAGCCCAGAACCCCCCAGGATCTTCCACTTACCTTCAGGCAGTGCTTCCTTTCTGTTGACAGGCCTCTGTGTCCTAACCAAGGCTGCTCTGGCTCGTACAAGGCCTTTGCTCTTGAATGGCTTTGAAGAATGTTCTTTTGTGGTCTCTGAAGCCTCAGAAAAACGCATGGAAACACACCCTATTCCTGTATGATTTTCGGAGGCTGCAGAAGCTGCACAAGACATACCTCATTCTTGCATGGCCTCATAGGCCTTCCAAAATTGTGTGGGAACAGGTGTGCTTTTGAGAATAGTTGTGGTTGGGTGTTGGTAAGCCCCGGTGTGTCAGCCAAAACACTGTGGCATATCACTTTGACACCTGTCATAGGTTTATCATCACTAGGATGTATAAATCATAGACATAGTTTTTCAATTTCTCTTGCAGGTTTTTGTTGTTGTTGTTGGTTTCGCTCTAACAGCTGGATTTACTTTATCACTATAAATCTTTTTTCAACATATACTGTACATTTATAACAGTAAACTGTGTACCTGTGGTTTAAAAATGATCATAAAATACATACTTAATAAGCCATAAGAGAGATGCACACAGAGCACACATTAATGATTCTTCTCATATTCCTCTCCTTAGAAAATATGGATGGAAGAAATTAATAATAAGCGATTTTAAAAGAGCATTGTAAAATAGCAATAGCACTTAGACTTATATACTGCTCCATAATGCTTTACAACACTCTCTGAATAATTTACAACATCAGCATATTACCCCCAAGAATCTGGGCCCCCATTTTACAGATCTCGGAAAGATGGAAGACCAAGTTAATGTTGAGCCCTGTCAGGATTGAACTCCAGGCTGTGGGCAGAGTTTGCCTGCAATACTTTAATCACTGCGCCACCAGTGTAGGTTTCTAAATGTAGAGCATTTAGTCGGTAGAAAGTCCTTAATTTTTAGACTTCAGATGTACTATACCTGTTTTGGTCAATGGGCTTGAAAAAAGCTGCTGAAGAAGTTTGTTCTCTGAAGTCCTCAATACCACCATTATGTCAGCAGGAAGAGTGTCTCTGTTCTTCTCAAGGAAGCCATAAGCATCATAGCGAACCTATATACAATGTGGGAATTAAATGTGAAAAAGCCTCTTATAGGATTCTGTCACCCGTATTATTTTAAGTAAAGATGGGGGACTTTTCCCTCTGAGGATTTATGTATTGCTCAGTCATATTTATGTCTACTTATTTTCACATGCACACACTCACAACTATTTTCCCTCATTAGCAATCTCAGTACAACTTGCTATACAAGAAAAGTTAAACTTCTCTGTTCCCCATCTCTTTTTTGCTTCTTGTTTTTCTCCTGAATTTTAAGTGTTGCAACCACTGCTGATTTTGCAGAAGGCCCTAGTTTAAAGCTCTCTGGTAACTGAATTTTTCAAAAGTGTTTTCAAAAAAATACTCTGTTCCTCGTAGACCCCGGCAACCATAAAGTAAGGAATTAAGCAGCAGATGCTTTGACTTCTGTACTGAGAAGATTGTAGTCTTCAGCCTTAAAAAAGAAACAAGGCACTTCGTGAAATTGGCTGTGACAGGAACAGTTACAATTCCAGGAAACAGATAAGGGGAGAATGGACCAGCAACACCATAGGCTTCACCTATAGATGTACCACCATATTTTAAATTAAGAATTAGCATCAATGCCTTGATAGTTGAGGACATCTGAAGTTCATTGTACCTTCCAACTCAGTTCTATTGGCCATCAAGCACCATGGGTTGTAAAACAGTGTTTAAGTTTTAAAATGTAAACTCATTAAAAGCATTAAGTAGGGAAGAAAAATCTGAAAGTCACTAAAGGGAAATCTAAGGATTTTTATTACATTTGAATTTAGTGCAAGTTATATAAATTTTACCTTTCCAGCATAATGATGAATGCCAAAACAAAGCTCCACTCGTTTAGGTCTCCAGAAGTATTTGCATCGCAGATTATCTTCAAATTTATCTGTGCATTTTAAAAAAAGAAAACAATATTATTCTTTTGATGGCTGCAAGTACAAATTTTTTACATTGGAAGACAGATAAGGTGCTGATGATATCAGATTGGGAAGCCAGACTTGTAGAACATACAGCAATGGCAAAAGTAAAGGTATATAGTAGGTTCAAAATAGAAATTTAACTAAATTCAGGCAAGAATGGCTCCCTCATACATTACTCAGCAAGGCAAATTCAGATATTTGGAGTATGATTGCAAAAGGGAAAGAAACCAAAATAGATGAAAAGAATAAAATAAATAGAATCTGAAACAATGCTTAATGTTTAAAATATGTCTATTTATTTCAGTCATCAGTCAGGGTACAATGGAAAGGAAATGTATAACTTGTAAATCAAGTAGTTTCCTAGTAATGCTTTAACTTATTTTTTCTTCTTCTTTTGTATATCAATGGCTATTCTTCTCTCTTTTTCTATGTAACCATTAGTATTTACTTTCTGAATAATAAGAACCAGAAATATTAAAAATGGCCCATTGTTTCGATTGCAAATCCGTTTCTTCCTGACCATGTAATCAGAACTATTTCCCCCTGAATACCAGTTGCAGCCCATATTGCCTCTTAAATATTTTATATGATTTTTAAAATTATTATTCAATATTGCCGTCTTCCGGTTTGCAAGCTTTCGGCGGCAGCAGGGATTCGTGACACCGCGCGATCCCTGCTGCGTTCGCCGCCAAGGTTCCCCCGATCCGTTTGGATCTGGGGGATATAGCTGCCCCGTAGAGGCAGCTGAAGACAGGGGGGATCCGGGAAGGGGTTTGGGGGTGTCGCAAACCCCCTCCCCAGCCAGCTAAACCCCCTTTTCCCAAGGCGGAGGAACGGCGGTCAGCAATGGCCGCCACGAAGAAATCTGCAGCCGGACAAGCAGGTGCAGGAGGGAGAAAGTTGGAAGAATAGTGAAAGTTGCTTTTAACCGGGACAAGACAAGAGAAAGTGACCTGGAACCTTGAAGGCTGCTAAGTATGCATTGTCTCTAGTGAGAGTTACAAACTGCGAATATTCTAAAAGGGAAAGTTTTTTCTTTTCATTCCACTCTCCTTCCTAAAGTGACAGCGGAGGGAAAAAACCTTTCTGGCTGTGAGTGGGAAGGGAGAGGGAAAAAATTGGAGCAAAATTTGAAAATAAGGAGAAGATTGCCTAGAATTGTAAAGAGTTATTAAACATCAATAAGACTTCCAAAAAATATATTTGAAAGGGAACTTTGTGATTAAACTTTAACTCCAGAAAGAGAAAGTGAAGAAGAAGAAGGTACTTAAAAGAAACAGCCTGTTTGGATTGTTTGGTGATTTTGGAACTTTTGAGAATTATTTCTGATTAAAACATCTGGGTGGTTGTTTGGAAAAACTTTTTCTCTACACAATGGCATCATCTGTGGATGGACTGAAACTTATATATCAAAAATATGAAAAAGAAAAACAAGAAGGGAAAGATGTTTTTGGCACTCTTTTTCAATTTTTAGAAATGGCGGTTTATACTTATGTGAAGCAGAATGAACAACAGGATAATGGGGACAAAGAAGAAGCCATTTTTGATGAACAAATGACTTTGGTTGGAGAAGGGAAAAAGAAAGAGAAAAAGGAAAAGAGGACTTTAAGATCTGGAAAAACAACCCAAAAAGAGAAGAATAAGGTGAAAAGGGGACATTATGTTAGGAAACAACAGAAAGGGGGAAAGCAGAATAAAAGGGAGGTGGAGAGACAAGGGGTTAAAGAGGACAAGGAGAAGAAGCAAGGGAGAAAAGAAGGGATGAGAAGCCCTAATGGTGGGGAGCAAGATGTTAAGAAGCAAAAGTTTTTTAGAGATAATGGATAAATTTTATTGTTAAAGGGATTCTAGAAAGGTACATAAGACTGAATTTTTATATTTGTATTTAGAAATAACCATAGAAAATTGGAAATAATATGTAATTTAAAATGTGATAAAATATTTAACATAAACTAGTGAAATTTTTGTTAAGAAAAAGGGAGTACTGTAATGAAATATGACTCAAGATTGTGATGTGGGGGGTGGGGGGGGGGTAATAATTTTTGGAAAGCATAAGTGTTCCCACAAAGGCATGATATTTAATTGAAATGGATAAAATGTTTAAGATATAAATGATTGTTAATACTAATGATTAGATTATGGTATATTAGCGAAATTTTTTGTGAAATGAGAGATTTGAAGTAGAAGAAGGAGGAACATTGTAATGAAATAATGAGCTAGAATATGTGATGTGGGGGGGGGGAATAACTATGGAAAATAGGGCTCCCATAAATGTATGTGATTTAATTGAAAAGTAATGTGTTAAACGTTCAAGATATAAATGAATATCAATACTAATGAATAGATTTGTATTATTTTTGATAACATAGTATAATTTTAGAATGTACCAGACAGAATCCCAATGTAAATTATGTGTCTTATATTAAGTATTACAAATATAGGGGAAAGAGATAAAGGCATCATACTCCATATAGTGTACAGGAGAAGTTTTTCTTCTTTTTTAAAGAAGAAAAATAAATGGATGGTTGGAAATAGAACAGACAAAGAATAACAAATATTATGATCTGAATTGAGAGGAGATAAATAAAATAAAATTGAAAAAATTTAAAAGAGAGGAGAAGTTATACAGAAAATTGAAAATGTTAATAAGATATGAAATGGTATATAAAAGGAATATGAATTTGAATTTGTGTCTGTACCAAGAGTTATAACCCGGGACTAAGCAACTTTCAGAAAAGAGATTTTTTACGCTTTTATGTTTTGTGTTTTTGTGTATTTATGTATTGTCTGTCTTGAAGAATTAATAAAACTTGTTTTAAAAAAAATATTATTATTCAATATTGCTGTTTATGTAAAATACTAATTAGCTCAGCAACAGAGGCAAATTACTTTTTTTTTTTTTTGTATTTGTGTGCAAAGCCCTCTCAGGCTACCTTTCCAGTTGCATGGTAACTATGCTGATTGCACTATTGAAGGACACAGCTGATGTTCAATTATCCAATCTCTGCATTCAGGAATTGGTAGAAAACTGTCCATACATTCCTATTTAATACCTCTAGAAAAATATTCATTTCCTAATATCTTTCTCAATGGGATAAATACCAATTGGCCTAATGAACAAAGAAACACTAATCTAAAAATTGGTTACAAAATAATTTTAAGCTGTTTTGTTCCCTTATTTTTTGCACAGCTAGACAGGTAATAGTGCTAAAGAAGTATAGTTTATTTCTAATGGGAATAGGATTTTTTCCCTCAGGTTTTTAAGTGATTATCTTTTCCTGCTGCAGCTTGCCAGTTTCAGAGAAGCTCTGCTGTAAGGCTCAATTCTCTCTATAAGTAATTTCTTATTCAGGAATTGCTTAATCAGCAGATAACTCTCAGATGGGGTTTGAATTCACATATCAGCTGAACTAATATGAATCCACTTGCTTCCTTTGAAAATAACTAATAGTTTATTATATGGAGAAGATGTCTATCTATAATTATAATAAAATACTCCATAATTTAATCATTTGACTTCAAGAGTTTAATGCAGTCAGCTTGGATTTAAACTTTACAAAATATATTAATTGTTCTCTTGCTTTTTTTCTTCTGTGTAATTATGAAACCATTTAGGATTTCTGAACAGGTCATACCAACTAATGTTAGGTCTGTTGCTTGTGGAAATCGGCTTTCTTCATCCAGTAGAGAAAGTAGCCCCATTGGTTTCTGAAGGAACATATCTAAGAGTGGTCTGTTGTCTTCATAATCAACCAAGACAGCATCAATTCCTTCATTGTGATATTCCATCTAAAGTATTACAAAAGTTTATAAATCATAAATACCATTATGGGAATATTCTGGCTTTTCTTATTCATCTAGTTGCAAAGCTGAAAAAAGAATAAGGCAAGCAATTTTCAACACATGTTGCTGCTCAGCTATTTTGGTTTTTTTAAATTACTATTTGGGAAACACTTCTCTTACGTTTGTTCCTGGTTTTTACATAACTAAAATTCATATGTTGCTTTCAGTCCTACTGATTTGTGTGTGTGGGGGGGAGCTTCTTTTCTTCAACACAATAGCACACAACTGTACACAAAAATAATATATTACAAATGCATTGTTTAGTATGGCACCATAGTTTAATTGCCATATACAATAATGTGTTCATATACAGTAGTTACACATGTGTCCGATAAATTCATATGGTGAATGCTTTTTCCCTTTCTGAGAAAACATTTATTTTCACAGAAGACCGATGAAGTCATAAACTTCATGCCAAAATCATCTTCTTTGGTTCATCGGTCTTACAAGTCCCAAACCGAGCCTGCAGAACTTGCTGTCGAGTCAATCAAAGCTTACCTGCTCAAGTGCAAATATGTGCTGATTGAAATAAAATTGGATCTGCTCATTTGCAATGTTTATGCACAGCTGTTCAAATGAGTTCCTTGTGAAGTTCTCAAATCCAAAAATATCCAATATCCCAACATTCATTCCACTTTCAGCATTGCTATTTGAAAATGAACCAAAAAAATAATAATATCAAATATGATACTATAATATGTTGTTGTTACTATTGTGATTAGTAAGGTATTAAACAGAATAACTATTTTCTTCAGGGACAAAAGTTAACACTGAAAATATGAGTGCCTTAAAGGAAAAAAAAGTTCATTTCTCCTGTAGTGATTTATAGTAGCTTCTAGATCATTCAACCATCATTGTGCCAAAATAACAGTAAGGTGGGCAGGCTATGATGATGCAATAAATCAATAGTGTGGAAATGATCAGATACAAAAATATACACACTCCTAATATATTATCATTTACCAACATAGGTAAACATTACCTATTTTCCCTACCTAGCAAATGTAACTATGGCTTAACTAATTAATTAACTAATTAGAAATTAGACATCTTTAAACTAAATCTACTAGAACTAAAGCTAATAGCAACCTGTGCCCTCTAGATACAGTGGATTTCAACTTTATTCCTCCACTCCAGAGTGTCTTATATGTGGCCGTGTTAGTTGGAGCTGATGGGAAGTGAAATTCACAAATCTGAAAGGTTGTTTATCCCACGGAACAGTTCTTAGCAGTGTAAATCATCCACCATTCTCAAAGACAAATCCACCAGCCAAGACAAATTCATCCTTATTAGCTTCCCTTCTGCTGGAATTAATGGGTGGGAAAAATCATTCTGTTCATGCCAAGCTGGCATGGAAAAAGGAACCAATCCAGATACTTTTCAAGGGCATTAAAGGGCACCAGATTCAAAAGTTTCTTCTGATCTGCCTTTGCAGGATAATGAGAGGGCTGATGGGCTAATATGTTCAGTCTTTCACTGGCAAAGCTTCTTTCTCTTAGCTGAGAGGCTTTTCCCACCCAACCACCCAACTTTTGGTCTCAGAACTACCAAACTTTTGAACAAAGGATACACTGGTATTGCTGTATTAGGCATAGTTAAACACAAGAAGTTAATGACTGGGACTGAATTCAAAGGTTTACTTTATGCTGAAGATAATAAAAAGAAAAAAAAACAGGGGGAGATAAAAGATAATGTAATTAAAACATCTTCTAGTATCTTTCCAGGCAGGGACATGATTTTAACCCAAGTGAATCCCATTTACCTAACTTAGTTAAATCCCAATCAAGTCTTTGAAAACACTGGAGTTAATGTCCCAGGAACAAAAATGCATGGAAGCCAATTTGAGACATTATCTAAAACAAACATTAAACTTTTGATGTAAAATAAAAAGAGAGATGCGGGCATCAACAAATAAATATGCAAGGTATTGACTGTTAACTTGCCATATATTTTTATCAGGTTGCAGCAGGGTATTAATCCGATTTACAATCCAACTGAAGAGTCGGCCATAAAGAGCCTTTGACATGGCATCTCGTACATCAGCTGCTTTGTCCACAGTATTTGTTCGGATAATGGTCTCACCTCTTGTGACAACACAATGTGAGGTGAGAGCTTCCAGAAGTTCTTCTGAGCCAATGCTCAGCAGTGCAGCAGCTGAAAGACAGGGATGTTGTAAAACGGGGGCCCAAAGTGCTAGCCACCGGACGTGAAATTAGACTTCCTGATCACATTCTGCATTAGGACAATTCAGAGAAGTTAGCAAAATATTTACCATTATCTAAGGCTTCCATATTGGGCACTTCGCTTTTGTCAGTTTGGTGTTGTGAAGAAATGGAAGCAAATTCGATATTTCCTGTATTTAAGATCCCAGCCAAAATTCGATACACTGAATGCACTTCCTGAAAATGGTAGGAAAGTCCAAAACTATCAACTTTAACGGGTTACCAACACAATACTTTGGGGAAGACATACATTCTGAGGACAGATTGTGTGTATATAATTCCATAATCTGAATGCATCAAGACATACTGTCCTTCTCAGATTATAATGTACATTCAGCACTTTAGCATTTTTAGCCACTGCAAAAGCTAGAAGTTGCTAACATAATGCAGTCATGCTTCATGGTCTTAAAGGGTTCATATCATTAATCTTTTTCTTGAGTTCAATATGTACTTCTGTCTTATTTCTAATCCTATCTTAGATTGACAGCCTCTTAACAGCCAATTTCGATTGATTAATTGATTGATTCATTGATTTATTGATTGATTCATTCATTCTGAGCAGTGACAGAGTGTTTTTAACTCTTTATATATCAGTTTTATGTACCAGTTTCATTCTTCATGCACCAGTTTTTCTGTTCATAAAAGAAATCTGCCTAAACTGTGAGACACTTTGCAGTGAGATGGACAACAAACAAAATTAATCCATAAACAAATAATAAATAAAACAAATGGGCTAATACCGTGCCAAGCAGATCCTAGAAATATCCTACTGCAATGTGAGCATCAAAGGCAGAATTCAAAGAGATTCTGGTGCATCAGAGAAGAAGACCAAGTGGGATCTGGTAGGCTTGGGGGAGGGACTGATAGGATCATGAACTGATCATGAATTTCTCAAACTATATTCCTAAATACAGTTCCCTCATAAAATGCCTAATCTTCAGTTAAATTATTAAGAAAACTTGACTTTTATTATTGTGTATTTTATTATTGCTATTGACTTCAGAATTAATTATGTGATTCCGGGGCAATTTACATGTTGTTATTGGTGCCAAATATGGGTTCTTCTTTGTCTAGTCTAGCGTTGATTCACCTTTAGTAATTCTAACCCTAGTGAATCACTCCATTGCTGTTATTGTAGTTCTACTCTCACTTGGTAACCACAAAAAGTATTCTACAGGCCATACATAGAATTGTCAAAACCTGATCTGGCAGCCACCATTGTACTGAATCATATTTTCTTAGCAATACTATATTGAATAAGCCTCAATTAAGTTGCCCACTGAAAAATATAAATGTTTAAAGCAAGGCCAATGTTATTCTGGCAACTATATATATATAAAAAAATCATCACTTACCTCTTTAGTAAATCCTATGATCCGAAAGCAATGCTGGATAGCTTCAAACTGAGTTCCATAGGATTCTTTATTAATAATATCATGCATCACCTTTCCTGTGCCATTTTCAATATACCTGTGTAAATTACATAACTAAGTCTCATTTGATGTCGTACCTTTTTCATGTTCGTAGGTCTGCAATTAGTCAAAGAAGCTATGGCCACATTGCTCCACAGCTCCCCTGACATAACTAAATACACAAAGATTGAAACACCCAGGATTATGGATCTCATAAACCTCTGCCTAACCACACACTTCCAACTAACCAACAAATTAAAGGTATACCTATGGGATCATCACTTTCATGACTTATAACAGAGGTCATTGTGTAACTTCTAGATGTTATAGGGCTTCCACAAATACAACCCAAAATATGAATCATAAATGTAGATGACACCTTTATCATAATTTAAAAAGGACCAATTAGAGAACACCGCAGAACTGTCAACAATATCTTCAGAGCAATCCAGTTTAGCAGAGAAGACAAAAACAAGAGCTCACTACCTTCCTGGACACCCTGATCAGCAGATACCGCAATTGCAAACAAGAAATATAAGTGCACAGAAAAACCACCCACCCCAACCAAGTGCTCCACTACCAAGGCAACAACCCAACCTCCCACAAGAGAAGCTGTGTAAGAACTATATTTAGATGAGCACAAACTCGCTGCAGCAACCCTGAACAGCAGAACAAGGAAACGGAGCCTCTATTCAACATATTCCAAGCAAATGGATATCCATGCAACTTTATCAAAAAATGCCTGACCACTCAACCCAACACAGCACAACCAACACAAACCCTAAAAAGAATAACACTGCCCTACATCGAGAACATCTCAGAAACCACCAATGGACTACTACCACCACATGGAATTAGTGTAGCACACAAGTCAACTAAAGCTTTTCAAACCATCCTAAGTCTACCCAAAGAGTATATGGATGGAGTAAGCTCCTGTCATTGAGCTCCCGTCACTCCATCCATAGCTCCAGCCCACCCAGCAGTATGAAAGCAGACAATATTGCAAGTAGATAAATGGGGAGCACTTTAGTGGGGGAAAAAAATACCTAGATGCGTTCATGTGTGCAAAGAGTGGAAGCCAGCACTGGACCTGGCCACACATGAGGCATCAACAACATGAGGCGAGGCAAGACCAGTTGGAGGAGCCTGGAAGAGCCAGCAACCTGAGCACCACTAACTAATTGATGTAAAGCTAGTTTTTTCCCTCCCTCCCACAACAGTGCACCAATGATAGGTGCACAAGCACCAAACAGATTGAACTAGAAATCTAGGCTGTCAGGACAGCATTGTATCTAGCATGTGTAGATTTCCCTGAAATTGTTTGTCATTTGCTAAATAAATAAATAAAACAACTCAAAAAGGGAACAAAATTACCAAAACACCTCCCCACCAGCAATCAGCAATCAGATGAGCATAGATTAACTCCAAGATTAACATCAGACCAACAACCAAGTAAACAAGACTCTAATCAAGGAACTGCCAAACAAGCCAACAATAAACAGCCCAACCAAAAAAACACTAGGAACACCCGGACCAGTCATGATAGGACAAGCCACTACCAGAATATAAACTGAGAGCAAAGCCCACTCTTTATTAGCACTGATGATGTTACCTAGTTTGGGTAATGAAATGTCTACAAGAAAACAACCAAGCTCAGAGAGCACCAAGGACCCCTCACAATGTATAGTTTCTGGAAAGTAAAATAATTAGGCTACTTATTAAGTCAAATCCATGACTGAAATCCCTTTTGATAAGCCTATACATAATTTTGAGACTGAGCCAAAAGCTCAGATTAAATCCTTGCTAAAGAATTATTTCAACTAAATCAGTGAGCATATATTATGCTAACATACAGTGCCTATCAGTTCAATTCAGATTGCAGCATCTCAATAAATATCTAGCTATTTCCTAGATATTGTATATTCTTGTATAATTAACAAATGTAATCTTTAGGATAATTACCTACTCTCAACTCAATCTACCTGACTGGGTTATTGTTGGGAGAAAATGGGAAGAGAGACTATTATATATGCTGCCTTAAGCTCCTAAATGAAAGATAGAAGTCTAATGAGCAAACCAACAGGAGAAGAACAAGCCCTTGCAAAGAATTGGAAATATATTATGTTGCAGACTCTACAGAGACACATTTAACCTCTCATTCTTACCTCCTTCCCTCGTTACTAACCATCATGACCAGCATATTGTAGGCTGTTCTTTTAATGGATGCTATTATTTTCAAAATGAGGACTTCAGAAAATACAGTTAGGTAAATTTTGGGTCAGTCTCAAAGCTGGGATAGAGCAAGGCAAGTTCCATGAGAGATCAGAAACTAGAATACCCGAAGGCAAATTCTGGCCTAATATTGCTAATTACCCAAATAGTAATGTACCAATTTAAAACAATTCGTTTGGCTTTGTTTGTCTAGAATGCTAATACATACCATTAACTTTATAATCATCCATTTTGGAAAACAGATTAAATTTGAGAGTGTGGCAAAGCTATAATTAGATGAACTTTTTATTTTTGATTAATTTAATTAAGCCATATGTAAATAATAGCATTTCTTCTTGCCTATACAGTTATATAAATGAGAGGACTACAGTGGATCTTTAGGACAAGGGGAATGATTAAGGCAGACTTTAAAACGTCTCACCAAAACAAACAGCTATTTAATACTTAGTTATAACTAGCGATAAACACAAGTCAGCAAAAATTACCTGGGAGGCTTTTTCTCAGAGAGCTTATATTCAGAAAGTTTCTTTTGATGATAAAGACCAGCATAAATGTAGTAAAATATATGGAAGTTTTTCTCTCCTCTGTTAGGAAAAAAAAAGAATTACCGTAGAGCATAAATATAAGATGTTATATTTAACCTGAGAGATTTAACTAGTATACAAAACAGTGCCAGGAAGCAATAGTCCCCCCAAATCACATCTGTTTATATACCTAAAGAAATCCAGATGTCCAGGCTACAAGATCCATCAATCTCAGGTCCCTCCTCTATAACTGAGGTGATGGAGTTTTATTCTCCATCTAGAATAAATGAAGGACACCAGGAGGGGGGAAAAAAGATTCTGAAATGTTGTTCTTAAGAAACCAAATCTAAAAGTTTTGCCTTTCTCTCAGTCAATTGCCATTCTTCTGAGCTGCAGTGGGAGAGCCTTAAATTTTTTTACCCTAATTTCTTTAACATTAGAATTGGATCCTGAGTTTTCTTGTTTTCCATCATCCTTGACTATTAGCCATACTGTCTGGAACAAAGGCTTCTGAAAAATCAATATAGCAGATTGATAAAGGCTGGTGTCAGTGGTGGGATTTTTTTTTTTTTACTACCGGTTCTGTGGGTGTGGCTCAAAATTTCTGCTACTGGTTCTCCAAAACTGGTTAGAACCTGCTGAATACCACCTCTGGCTGGTGTATCTAATTCTGAATCCACCAGGGGAATGCTAAAGCAGTGACTCTCAACCTTTTGGGCATCAAGGACCGGTTCCATGGAGAGAGGTTTTTCTGCGGACCGAAGGGGGTGTGATTTCATATGCTGCCTACATCCTGTGCATGGGGGTTCACTTGTTTCCACAGCCCGGTTTTTGGCATCCCGTGGACCAGTGCCGGTCCACAGACCGGGGTGGGGACCCCTCTGCTAAAGTACATTGAACCCTGGATTGAAAGGACAGAGAGAGAGCAAGGAGAGAGTTTCTGACTAGGTTTCTGCAGATGTTAGACTTGAGGACTTACAGAACCCAGGAATTACATCCCAATGCACAGAAGTGTTTAAGAGCAGCAACAAAAAACCCCAATAGTTTACAGCAGTGGTTCTCAACCATTTTTTCACCATGAACCCCTTTTACATACCTTTTGTGGCCATGGGCCATGGCCATGGGTCCCCCAAGACTTAACTCACAATTTAAATCATAAAATTTCTTCAAGCCTTTGCAGACCCCCTGTGATGACATTGTGGCCCCCCAGGGATCCACGGACCACAAGTTGAGAACCACTGATTTACTTAACTGAAGCTTAACTTATATTCTGGTTTATTTTCAAATTATATAGTCTTTCACTATTCAGCTTAATTGTTTTCTCACAGCAGAAAAGATGGGAACTAGAACAATAAATAATTTTCAGGTTATTTGCCTTAATCTGGTAGGGGTGACTTGCTAAGAGGAACTGAACAGTTACTATTAGCATTTCTTTCATTATACCTTTTGTAGTTGGGCCTTACTGCCAGATATCTCTGAACTTTGTCCTTTCCATGGAGGCCATCCTAGTGCCAAACAAATCTATCTTTCAGTACCAAATAAAAACTTGGCCTCTTACTCTCGCAACTGGAACTTAGCATTCAAAACCTCACCATTCTTTTTGTCCATTAAGCACATTTCTGAGGTGTTTCCATTATTATGGTATGTGTATTAAATCAAATTATTTATTAAAGGCCTCACTTTTCCCTGTTTATTTTTGATAAGAGTATAATTCACTACAACATTCTTTTAGAGCACATAGAGTACAAAAATAAAATTAAATACTTTCAATGAAAGAATATTTATTTTGCCACCATCCATTTTCAGTATGAATGCAAAAAAAGATGATTGACAACTGAATGTATATAGCTCTATAGTTTTACTCCATATACAAATTAGATCTGTTCAAAACATTTGGAAGGGTGCTTCATAAATTGAAGACATCATAGATTTCAATCTGTTGTTCCAGGGATCAAGATAAGTGCATCCCTTAGACTAGGGATTTCCAACCTTGACAACTTTATGGCTTGTGGACTTCAACTCCCAGAAGTTGAAGTTCACAAGTTGTAAAGTTGCCATGGTTGGAGATCCCTGCCTTAGACAACTTCTTCAAAGCCTTCCCCAGTTGCTTTGGCATATGTGTAGCTGCACAGAAGTCATCTCTAGTCCGCGGCTTAGCACCTCAGCACTTCAAACAGGAGTTTCAAGATGCACTATGGTTCCTTTGCAAATTGACTGTCCAAATAATTCACATAGAAGCGGTATTAATATACTGAAGCCAAAATCATACTTAACAGTTTGCAACCTTTTCCAGTTGAAGGTAACACTGCTAACAAATTTTTAACAAAAGCAATATTTTAAACAGAACAATCCAAATTATACCTACAGAGCTTGCTTTATAACTCTGGATTTTTCTAGCAGGTATTCTGAGATCTTTGCTCCCATTACAGCTCCAGTTGGTGTGAACATCATTTCCAAGTATTTCCCAAAACGGCTAGAATTGTCATTGATAGCAGTGCAGGCATTCCCAAATGCTTCAACTAAAGGGTTCACCTGGAGAATCTTCTCCCGCAAAGCACGATTGTTTGCCTTCATAAAGAGAAAAGGTCATAAGGAGTTTTCTCTATCAATTATATGGCCCTCATATTCATTTAGATGTTTCTTTTACACAGAAATTAGGGAAAAAACATATTCTGCCAATAACTGCTAGGTATCCTGGCCATTCCGACACTGCTTATCTCCAGTGGCTGCTTAAGGATGAACAGTCCATAACTACAGCGCAGGTGGTTAGATTCTGCGCAGCAGCACTGGGGATTCGTTCGTTGCAAACACATAGTGTTTCCACCATAGTTATATTATATAACAAAAGACATTAGTCTTTTCCCTTTTAGCGTTGAACCTACAACAGGCCACAGTTTATGGATTGTAATTGTGGTATAGTTAGACCATGTATAATCGACAGACTAGATTTTATTATAGATTTTAGTTGTTACTTATTATTTTCTACTAGAATTTTTAATTGTATATTTGATGAGCATTTTCATTTGTTTGGGTCTCTGGTCTAAGACTATAATAAACTGAATACATATATATCCCTCATATTCATTTAAAACATTCCTATCCTCACCCTGCACTAAAAGCAAATACATCAGCAAGAGACAGTTGAAAAGGAGACACAATCAGGAACAAGATAACAAAAAACAAGAACAAAAAAAACCCCAAGCATTACATATCTATCTATTAATACTTTGTGCAAATTTGTTTGAAGAGAACCTTTTCTAATTCCTCTGGGATATAACTCAATGAAAATACAAATGTAAAAAAGTTATTTTATTATACATAAACCCTAATAAATAAATAAATACCCTGCCCTTTTTTCCATTTTTGTTCTAAAACTCTCTGTATTCCTTGAGTTACAAACTTTCTTTTAACGATTGTTCAAAGTTATAACTGCACTGAAAAGGTTGACTTATAATAATTCCTTGCACTTACAACATGTCATAGCACACACACACTCAATCATGATCAAAATTCAGACATTTGGCAACTGGCACATATTTAACATATGGTTGCAGCATTCTGGAGTCATGTAGTAGCCATTTGCAAACTTCCCAACCAGCTTCTGATCAGCAAAGTCCATGGGAGAGTCAGAATCACGTGACATCTGCCTGATTCACTTAACAACCACAGTGTCTCGCTTAACAATCATGCAAAAAGGTTTGTAAAATCAGGGGTGTGACTCACACTTAACTACTGCCTTAGCAACAGAAATTCCCATCCCAGTTGTGATTGTAACCTGAGGACTATCGGTATTATGCGTTAACAAAGGCTCTGAGACTGTTCTGACCCACGCCCTTTTCCGACAAATCAAACACAATTCAAAAAGAACAGAAACCTTGTAATGCTTTTATAAAATAATTAGCTGTCATAAGCACAAGCCTTGCCAAACTGTGCGAGACTTGCCAAAAGATAACAGACAAGAAATAATTTGCAAAATAAGAATCTTCAAATACAAACTCAGGATACTGGAATGTCCACGAGGCTGGAGTTTCAAAACGTCTTTGCCTTCTGCAAAGAAGGTTAGTTTCACAGCTGGCTTTTATCTTCTTGAAGGAGGGGCCATTACCTTTCAGCCTTACTCCCAAGTCACCAGTGCTGTTGTAACTGCTCTTTCCTACGAGCAATCCTGTGCGCATGCGCACTTGGTACAGGCTCCTCGGGAACCTCCTCATCACTGCTGCCAGCCCCCACAATCTCTGAAGGCAGCAGTCCACTCTCTAGTGGTCCTGGCCCCTCATCTGAGTCCTCGCTCTCCTCAGCCGTCTGTACCTGCTGCCGGCTAACCACAAGAAACTGAAGTTAACAAAAAATGGAAGCAGAAGCTTGCCATCCCCTTGTCACAAGATACACTTGAAATGAGAAGGGAAGAAAAAAAACATGAATCACAAACACAAATGCAAAGATTTGTACACACTCATCCCTGCCAAATTAGCACCTGGGCAACCTGTGGCCTCCAGATAATTCTACCTCAACAAATCTCAACCTGTGGTGAAGGAGAATTGAAACCGGGTATAATCAGTTGAGACAGAGATTGCTCAGCCCTGCACTAAATCTTAGTTTAAGGTTGCATGCAAATGCAGTCAGTATTTCACAGTATTATAATTTGAGTTATGTGACAGTCAGTAAATACCTTTCCCAGGAAGGTCAAATGCTGCACAATGAGATGGGCACTTTCCGTTTTCCCGGCACCGCTTTCCCCACTGATGATTATGCACTGGGGGTGCAAAACAGAAGAGAAAGATGCATAATTGGCAACTCAAGGAATATACCTTCATCCCTATTTTCATGTGCTTTAATACACCATTAAACATTTACTATCTCAAATTATACTTTTTTTGAAGAGTTGAACAATCATGCAGAGTATAAAACAAACATTCAAAGTTGCCCAGTTGAAAGTATTAAATATCGCAATATATATGCAAATGCATCAGTGGTGGGATTCAGATTTTTTTTACTACCAGTGTTGTGGGCGTGGCTTGGTGGGCGTGGCAGGGGAAGGATACTGTAAAATCTCCAGTCAGAGGTGGGATTTGCCGGTTCTCCAAACTACTCAAAATTTCTGCGACCAGTTCTCCAGAACTGGTCAGAACCTGCTGAATCCCACCTCTGGAATGCATGTTTTTGAATTGGATCTAGCCTGCTCATAACGGAGAATACAGAAAAAAAAAATCTATTTCTGCCAGATTCTTTCATGACAAAGGATTTCTGTCCCTTCTACAAATACTCCTGCAGAATATATTTATATATGAATGACATTACACTCTAATTAAATAATGAATGTAGAATAAGTGACAAACAAGAAAATCATTATTTTGCCAATAGAATTTAGAGGTTTTGTTTTGTTTTGTTTTGGAATGCCCACTGACGCCTTCAGTGTCTGGATCTGGCTGCTCTTGATGAAGAAATGGCATGCAGAATTGGGGAGGTGAATCAAACAAACTTAATAATCTGGGATTGTTTCAAACAATGCAACTGGGTGATAATTTCATAACAGCCACTGTGCCCATGGAACTGACAATATTAGGACAGTTTTTGTTTATACAGGGTCTTCAAACTTGGCAAGTTTAAGACTTGTGGACTTCAACTCCCAGAATTCCTGAGCTAACATGACTGGAGGAGGAATTCTGGGAGTCAAAGTCCACAAGTCTTAAAGCTGTCAAGTTTGAAGACCCCTGCCCTAGAATTACATAGGTTTTCCCCTCAGCTGGCCAGTTTGTATCCACACTCAAGTCAGCCAGGTTGTAGGGAAAATGCAAGGGCCAAATCAGACCTCACTTCAGATAAATGGCCACCACTGTGAAAATAGTAGCCATGCTCTTGACTGGTGACATATCAAATTTGCAACCAGGTGATATTTAACCCTTTCAGATTAAGACACTAGTACAGAGCAATGATTTTTTTAAAAAATGAAGAACATAGCATCACAACATTCAATAACTTACTGCTCTTTTATATTGGAATATATTTTTTTTTTTTGTTTTAATGTATTTTACAACTATTTACTTTTTTTTCAACTTAATGACCCACTGAAAAACTGATAAAGAATGAAACATATATCAGTTGACAATTCTACCAAGTATTATGGGGGAGGCAGAAAGCCAAATGGATGATTAATGTTTTTGGCATCAGCTGCCTATTTAGTTGAACCCTACCCTGGTTCTTGAAGCGTTCTAGAAGAACAACTAGTTATTCAGAGTACTTACTGGTTGTTCTATTTTTAAAGGTAAAAAAAGGAGAGAAAAAGTTCCTTCTAACAGTCACCAAACGTAATATATTTGAAGATCCCTGTGCATCACGTCCTTTTCTCTTTATCCCAAATGGTGATATGCCTGTATTTATTTTCTAGAGCAGGACTGTCCAACCGTGGCAACTTTAAGACTTCTGGACTTCAACTCCCCCAAATTAAAAAGAGAATGTACATATTCCCTTTTTCACTTTAAGTAATCTCACCCAAAATATCCAGTGGCAATGGTGTTCAAAACACAGACCTTCCATTTCATATACTGCAAACATATGTGAAACGGATGTCCCATAGAAAAATTACGGACAATACACTGTATAAGATTTTGGCCTGTGATGACAGATCTAATACTACCACAGGAACAACTCTGATGTAAAGAAGTAACAAGTAGCACATGGGAAAAAATGTAAATATCAGAGAGAATAAAAGATGAAGGGCAACACACAAGTCAACAAATTAATGCTCAAACTTTAATTCAACTATCAGGTTAATTTTCCCTAGTGTTCTAGAGAATAGACTAGCTTTGGAACAAATGTTACCATGGTGTAAATTTATTAGTTGGAAATACTTTATCCTACAAATTTTACTTTATATCTGAGGTTGAAGGAAACTCTTAGTTCTCTCTTTCTAAAACAATATTGCTGCTGCCTTTCTCCCCTTCCTTCTTCCTCCTTCAACACCCAATTAGTTTAGCCCTGTCACTATCCTGGCTTCTCATCTTGAGGCACGTTCCACTTTCATCAATATCCTTCTAAAATAGAGTGCTGAGAACTGGACATATTTCTCCAGATAAGGTCTGGCTGGTATAAAGATTACATTCCATGACCCAGAAGTTAACCTCCTTCTGTTAATGCAGCCTCAGACTGCATTAGCTTTTCAGTCTTCATCATGCCACTGACTCATCTTCAGCTTGTGATTACTAAGGTTATCTAGATTGTTCTCACATATATCACTAGCACAAGATATCTCTCCCATCTACAATAAGTGCCTTAGATAGGTGGTTTTTTTAATGTAAGACCTGCATTCTATAGTGTCATCTGTAAAATTCTTAGAAGCTCTCTTTCAAATTCATCCATTCAACTTATAAAACTACTGAACCGTCTCTATGGCTTAGGACAGATACTGGTTCTTCCAGGATCTACTCTATATTGATGCAAAGCTGTGAATGAGATGTAGTGTTGTGATGGTAGAAGCCTGGATTCGCAGGAGGGAGGCAGTGCATTCCAGAAGAATAAAAGGCAGCTCAATCCAGAGACTTTGTGTGAGAGAAAAAGGGTGAAGACAGCCCCTCCCTAATAGTTCTTACAGAGCAGGGCTGTCAAATTCCCGGCCTATGGGCTGGATGCGTTACATGCTGGCCACGCCCATGCCCCGTTTAGCGAAGGGGGGAAAGCCCCGATATTTCATGTGACGCCACCGTGATGATGTGAGTTTGACATCCTTGTTATAGAGTACATATTTAATGTAGATAGTAGAATGCTTCAGTTTGGCAAGATTCAGTCTATAGGTATAGAACAATAAAGAACTCTGTTCAGAAGACTCATTATGTGTCTTTCTTGGTTTGGGGGGCCTGACAGGTCTGGTTGCCCAAATAGAGGTTCAACTATGTAACACCAGACCCAACCCACATTCAGTCAACTTTCAACAAGTATATTAGAAGAAATCTTGGCTTCAGCATTTTTGAAATCAGGCTAATATCACATCTGCACTTTTTATGATGTTTGGATATACACTGCTAGTACGTGCAAATCCTTTGCATGCAGAGACAGCTGGGAGATAATTACAAAGCAGCCACACAGATCTTAAAAAGAGATGCAGCTTTTTTATTGATTCTATCAGAGATGTAATACAGGAAAATTAGATTAAACCAATACATTCGAAAAGCTCTTAATGAAATGGAATCCCAGATGCCATTTGAAAATATACTGTTATTTACTTTGTATCCTATGGATAATTATCATCCATATAGCAAAAATAGTAATATCTTGAGTACTCCCAAGCATGTGTCTCAATCTGCACATGTGGTCATAATAAAATATATTCATCAAAAAAATGAACAAGGGATATGAGAAAAATAGTTGAAAAAATGTAAAAAAATATCATACTTTTATCAATTATCTTCTAATCATCTGCTTGCAACTTCCATTGTGGCCATATCACAATTATATTGAAATTAACTTATGCTTGCAAGCAGTATGTATTCAAAAGGACTCCAAATTAAATAGCTTATAAGATGCACATGTTGAGCACCGATCTCTGCAGGGTAGGGGGAAAGGATGAAAACAGCCTTGTGGCATAGCAAAACAAGCTTCACTCCTTGTAACATCATGATGCTTGCTTCAGGAAGGGACAACACCCAGTGGTGGGATTCAAATTTTTAACAACTGGTTCTGTGGGCGTGGCTTAGGTGGTGGGTGTGGCTTGGTGCTCATGTGACTGGGTGGACATGGCTTGGTGGTCATATTATTGGCTGGGTGTGGCCAACTCAATATCACTCACATTGAGGCGCGCATCTCCTTGCCTGGCCTTTCATGACTGTGGGGATGCTGCAACAGTCGTAAGTGTGAAAAATGGTCATAAGTCACTTTTTTCAGTGCCATTGTAACTTTGAATGGTCACTCCACACAAGCAAAGTACCAGCAAAGGAGGGGAAAAAAACTCCAGAGACGTTCCTGAAACAGGAAGTCTAGTCCTGCCAAGAATGTAATAAGGGTTAACGGAGAGGTAGTTTCTGTAAGCAACACCAGAATGTTTCCTTCCTGCCTTCCTTACAGGATTAGGCTAGTAATTTCTTCTAACAACTGGTTCTCTGAACTGCTTAGAATGTTAACCACCGGTTCTAGCGAATAGGTGCAAACTCCCCTGACAACACCGCTTTTGTTATTTTGACAAAAATATTAGATCTTTCAAATGCTTCTGATTCTCAGTTCATAGGCCTCAGTTAATGACTATAATTAGGACCAGGAACTTTGTCACTAAGTGACATGGTCATGAAGCTATATATATATATTTTTCGTAAGAACATGTGTGGCTGAAGTATTGGCTGATAGACACACAGCCAATACCTCAGCCACACATGTTCTTACGAAAAAGCCAGCCAATCTGCAAACATAAACTCCATCAACCAATCAAGAAATGACAACACAGCCAACCTCCCCACCAGTATATATAGGGAGACGGCAGCTCCGATTACACTTTGCTCGCACAAGCATGAAGCCGAAAGCACCAGCCTGAAGATGGCGAGTGGGACCTCATCGAAACGTTGCCAAGATGTTCTTAATCTTACACGGGAAAAGACCCGAACACACCAAGACCTGCATTATATATATATGTTTGTTTTCTTAAGTTTTCACGGGTATTTATATGTATGGTATTCAGCACTGTTTGGGTATTTTCCCACATCATTGTAGTTGTGCTTTTAAAGTTGTAGCGACGTTTCGGCAGAATCTCATCTGCCATCATCAGGCTTATGTATTGTGTTCATCTGTGAGTCAGACTTTCACAGCCGTTTCTGTTTTAAATTTGGTGCTAGCCTACTGCTGTGTTAGAATGGTTTTTTCTTCACCCTGATTGGTTGGGAGTCTTGGTCTGTGTTTATTGGTCTTGGAGTTTGCTGTGTTCTGCTTGACTGGTGTTTCTAATATCTTCTGGCTGTTTTGTAGCATTTTTTTTGTCTTGATTGGCTGGCAACATTGTGTTTCCTATATTGGATGCTTTTAGAGCGGCTTGGCTTCGAGTAAACAGATGGCTATCATTTATTAGTAAGCTAGGTTTCATCTGGATGCCTGGTTGGGGTGTGTTTAAGCTGGAGGTATCAGGGGGGGGTCTATACTAGCCTGATGATGGCAGATGAGATTCTGCCAAAACGTTGCTACAACTTTAAAAGCACAACTATAATGATGTCGGAAAATACCCAAACAGAGCTGAATACCATATACATACATACATACATACATACATACATACATACATACATACATATATATATATAAATAAAACATGATGTATGTGCTAACTTACAACAGCAGTTCTGGAAATTCCAATTGTGCTTGTCAAGCAAATTATGTGCAGTTATTAAGCATGCTGTCACATGACCACAACTTGAGACTTCATCCAAGCTTCTCCATTGGCTTGTCAGAAGCCTACAAATAGAGATCTTGTGACTGGGATGTTGTCGTGACTGTCGTAATTGTGCACTGGTTGCAAGGCATCCAAATTGCAATCATAACCATAAGGATTCTGAGACAAGTGCAATTCAAGGACTAGCTATAAGTCTCCTTATTGAGCACTGTCATAACTTTGAACAGTTGCTGAATAAATGGTCACTAAGAGATAACTGCCTGCATTTTTATATTTGTGGATGGTTTCATACAGATTTAATTGTAACAGGCCCAATTAATCACTGAAATGTAAAGTAATCATGACTATAATTGCCTGTATACTGCACGAGTCAAAAAGAAGGCTGTGAAAATATTTACAGACCCCTCACATCCTGGACATAAACTGTTTCAACTCCTTCCCTCAAAACGACGCTATAAAGCACTGCACACAAGAACAACTAGACACAGGGATAGCTTTTTTCCGAAAGCGATCACTCTACTAAACAAATAACTCCCTCAACACTGTCCAACTATTTACAAAGTCTGCACTACTATTACTGTTAATCTTCTCATCACTCCTTATCACTCATCCCCTCCTACTTGTGACTGTACGACTGTAACTTTGTTGCTTGTATCCTTACGATTTATATTGACTGTTTCCTATTGTACCCTATGACTATTATTAAGTGTTGTGCCTTATGATTCTTGATGAATGTATCTTTTCTTTTATGTACACTGAGAGCATATGCACCAAGACAAATTCCTTGTTTGTCTAATCACACTTGGCCAATAAAGAATTCTATTCTATTCTATTCCTTCATTTCAGTAGTCAATTCTAGATAGGACTAACATTAAAGCCAATATATTATATTTTTAATTATACTTTATCAAGAATCTATGAGCCATGGTGGTGCAGTGGCCAGAATGCAGTACTGCAGGCTACTTCTGCTGACTGCTGGCTGTCTGCAATTTGACAGTTCAAATCTCATCAGGCTCAACGTTGACTCAGCCTTCCATCCTTCTGAGGTTGGTAAAATGAGGAGCCAGACTGTTGGGGACAAGATGCTGAGTCTGTAAACCACTTAGAGATTGCTGTAAAGCACTGTGGAGCAGTATATAAGGCTTATTGCTATTGCTATCTTACATATTAATTTCTATTACCAGCTATGTTTAAAACACAGTTATGACTTTTATGATTTAAAAACTCATTAAATTCTACACAGCATATTTGACAAAGTTTAATCAATCCCAAGTTGTTGTTTTTTAAATGCAGCATTTTCTTATGTCATGCATATAATTGTAAGTATTAAAAAAAACAACTGTTTTCCTACCTGGTCTTTATTAAAAGTAATCATGCCTTGGTAAGCAGCATCTGCAGTTGCAAATATGTGGGGTGGGTTGGAGGAACGCTTCATACCATGATAAAGCTTGGAAAACTAAATACGAAATCACACTTGTCAAAACATATGAACCGGGCAACTAGAAAATACATATCAAAATGCAAAGAGGCAGAACCACCAACTCCTGCATATGATTTCTCTCTGTCCATAGTAAGCTGTCTTACATCACATTATTTGCCAATGCTACTCCAAATGGCAATACCTTCCCCTCCCAAAAAATAAAGGTTTCTATTTCATCCTTTCACCTGGAGTTATCAAAGCCTGAACCCACACTCTTTTGTGCCCTTATATCCCCCCCCCCAATCCCTTCTATATAATGTTTTTCAAAATAATGAATGGTTGAGAGAGAGCAGATAGTATCTTCTCAGCCACTCTGGATTCCTTCTATCAAACAGTATCATCTCTTGGGATCCTGGAAATGCACTTTCTGTCATTTGCTCTCTGGAATGAGGTTACCCTCAAGATTCAAATGGTCCCCATTCTACTGGTGTTCCAAAGACCCTGAAGATGTGGGTCTTTACCCGGGTCTTTGGTTAGGCTGGTTTATGCTCCCTTTCTTCTTTCCCTTGTTCCTATCCTGGTTTATTTTGTCTACCATTTTTGCTTCTTTGGTGTTGTTTTGTTTCACATTCTGTATTCAGTAAACCTTCAGTATGTTCAGTGCATCTTCTTCAGTGTCCATCAGATACTCTTCCAGTGTCCTTTCTTCTTCTTCAACAGTATTATTTATGGCAGGGGGAGTATTGGTACAATTTGTTACCCTAACTTAGTAGTCTTTAATCAAAAATACATTATTAAGAAGCACCCTCCATCAATTGCTATTGTTTATAAAGGAAAACAATATGGTCACCTGATACAGCATAAATAGTTTGAAAAAGCAGGATTCCAGCTTCTTTCTTACCTGTGGAGAATATATACTGAGATTTTGGAAGGGATTTAATGCTATTAATATATCTCCAACGTAAGTATAAATTTGTAAATCTCCATATCGCTTCTTCAGCTGATAAATAATTGTATCCTGAAAAGATCAAAAGTTTCACAGTTAAGCAGTATTTCTTGGAAATTTACTATAAATGTAATAAGCAATAATCCCCAGCATTATTTGTCACTTCTGTCAAATATTAATTTCACTAAATCAAACCATTGCTTACACAGTCTTGTATCTTCCTCAAATATAAATTTATACCCATGCCAAGTAAAAAGCAATATGTCTGTCTAGTAAATTTTGGTTAAATGGGTCAGACTGTCAGAGAAATGAATTGTAGATGTCATCGTTCAAATGTATGTTTGGAATATACACAACAAAAATAATTCTAGTTTGTTTTAATTCTGCTCATGAGGCTAACTTGCTTGTTTCAAAAACAGATTATCTACAATTATTTCTATTTATGTATTTATTTATTACAATTGTAACATTTTACTACAGTTCAATTTTAATGAAGACAAAGCAGTTTTACATGCCAGCCACTGCCGAAATCTATTTCTATTTACTGTGCTGTATTTTGACAAAACCTAAGCATTACTTTTCTCACCTAAAATTATAAAAAGAAAAACAATGAATTGAGTTACCAAATGTATTGTTTTTTCATCGCTGTGCCTATTATACAGGGAGTTCTCAACTTATGACCACAATTGAGCCATATGTATATAGGAAGCCTTAAGCATTGCTCTCTTTCCTTTGGCTCACAAGTTGGTATCTAAGAGCCAAGTTACTTATGATGTAAGTATAGCTGGCAGCAGGAATGTGATTTAAACAGTTGTATGTACAAGGAGTATGGAAATCTTTCCTTTCTACCCATAATTGCTGCACTGTTTTTTTCTCAGTAGTGATCCAAAGATATATGTAGCCCCACACACTGGGGGAGGAAATGACTTAGACATAGAAGTTATCAATTGTGTGTAGAAGGCACTCCATTTTTGCTTATTCGTGCTGCATTTTTCTTCTTTTCCTCACAATTTATTGCCCAACAAGCTTTTATAATCCCTGAATTTCCAGCAATTGTTCATATTAGCTGGGAATTTTGGAAGTTCTAATTTCAATACATCAAGAGGATGCCACATTAGGGAAGGTTGCTCTATAAATGAAAGAAAACCACCTCTGATCTGGCTCATTAATAGAATCTGCTTCACTGCTGCATCAGAATGCAATGTGCAGCAGCTTTTTGGGTACAGATTATGCCTCTGCACATTCCAAAGATCATATAATAGTTCTGGGAAATTTTCATTTTTATATAAAACTCACATATATACAGACTCATGCTCCCCAAGAGAAGATTCTTTGGTTGCTTCAAAACTGTATCATGACCATAAAAGGAAGATTCAACAATGGAGGAGTTGAACCTCTCTTGCTCTTTTTTTGCCATTGTAAAGAGCAGGCTTCAAGTCTGCCATTCACCATTTCCCATCCACTCATGCCCTACATGTTCAGGAATATGTCTCAGGCATGAACTTTGGCATGTAAGCAGCTCTCACTTCAACTCCTCCTTCTCCTTCCCCTGTTTTGGGGAAAACTATAGACTAGAGGTGTTAAACTTGATTTCATTGAGGGTTGCATCAGACTTGTACTTGATCTCGGGAGGACAGGAGGGAGTGGCCAGGGTGGACATGGCTAGCTAGATGTCACTCGTGTTGGGGGCGACTGTGGTGGGCCGAGGGCTCTGCCAGAGAAAATGGGCTCCCAAGCTCTATTTTCAGCTGCAATAGCTTCCTGCAACCCTCTGCTAGAGAAAATGTAGCTTGGGTAGGCCTCCCGGGGCCCTTGTGAGCTCCATTTTTGGCTGCGATGGCCTCCTGCAACCATCTGCCAAAGAAAACTGAGCTTGGGAGGGCTGGTAGCTCCATTTTCACTGGCAGAGGAACTGTGAGTCAGTTCTTTGCTGTTTCCACAGACCCACGGGCCAGATCTAGGCACCCCATGGGCCAGATCCGCCCCATGGGCCTTGAGTTTGACACCCCTGCTGGAGACAATTCTCTGGAAGAAGGGAGATGATCAAGAAGCAGCATGCTACGGCCAAGAGAAGAAGAAGACAGTAATTATCCTCCTTCAGTCTTAAACTGAAGTTTTGAACTTCCCGAAATGAAAAGGAAGTTCATTGAAAACGGGGGACATCTGATTCAAGTTTCTGAGACTTACATAGCAGAGCCGGCTCTAGACATTTTGCTCCCCAAAGTCATATTTTGGTGCCCCCTATGATTTGTCTCATGTTTCTTTCTTTTTTTTTAGGAATCTCAAAAAGACACCCTTTTGTTTTGTATTTTCTTTTCAATTTTTGAGTGTTACATTTCAGATTTTCAGCCTGGACATGTTTTTTCCTTTTTTCTCTGACCCAATAACTCATTTTAATTACATTAGCACTCACTGTTTTCATATAGCAATAATTCTTTGAAATTATATTTAATCCTCCAGCAAGCATACAGGCTCATGGAATGCACTGCTACTTTTTTTGTTTTGTTTTTCAGAAGTCTTTTCAATTCTGGTATTCTTAAAATTTGGTGTCCCTAGGCTAGTGTCTACATGGCCTTAATCCAGAGCATGCCCCGATGGGTAGAAATGGTTAATTATATAGTTAGAACTCCAATCAATTAATCTTTATAGATGCTGTATTTTAATCTCCCTGCATAATTTAATGATATTTTCTGTCAGCTAGAATCAAAAGTTTAGGGGATCTGTATTACTGAAAGTTAATCATTGTCATCTGGGACAATTCCTACCTGGACTAAACTTTATGAATTAGTTGATGAGATACGTTTGTTCCTCTCTTATGATGATGTTCAACCTTTTTTTTTCTTTTAGTTTAATGTACTGTGGTTTGTTTTAGGTAAGCTTCCCAGATCCACTACTGAGTTGAATGGCCCCCTAAATCTAAACTTATAAACACATAAAACTGGTGGTATGCCAAAAATATATTTATTGTTATATATTTTATTGGATCTTTTTTGTGTTTGATTCATTTTCAGTTATTAGACCCTGGATCAAAACACCACTGCATCATTTCCAATACTGATTAACCACATTGTAATATTTAGATCCAAATGTTTTATCCTTGTATTTAATTAAGTTTAATTTAGTTTGGTTTATCATCAAAGGGAAAAGGGTTATGCCTCTAGGCAGGCGTGGGATTCTACCAGTTCGCACCTATTCGCTAGAACCGGTTGTTAACATTCTAAGTAGTTTGGAGAACCGGTTGTTAGAAGAAATTACTAGCCTAATCCTGTAAGAAAGGCAGGAAGGAAACATTCTGGTGTTGCTTACAGAAACTGCCTCTCCATTAATCCTTATTACATTCTTGGCAGGACTAGACTTCCTGTCTCAGGAACGTCTCTGGAGGGTTTTTTGCCTCCTTTGCTAGTACTTTGCTTGTGTGGAGTGACCATTCAAAGTTACAATGGCACTGAAAAAAATGACTTATGACCATTTTTCACACTTACAACTGTTGCAGCATCCCCTCAGTCATGAGAGGCCAGGCGAGGAGATGCGTGCCTCGATGTGAGTGATATTGAGTTGGCCACACCCAGTCAATAACATGATCACCAAGCCATGTCCACCCAGTCACATGAGCACCAAGCCACGCCCACCACCTAAGCCATGCCCACAGAACTGGTTGTTAAAAATTTGAATCCCACCCTTGCTTCTAGGCACATACCTTAACACTATACAATTGCAAATTGGCATTACTTTATAGGAATACTGTAATAATTGTCAGAAAGTAACACAGAGCGTGGAATTCTCTCTCTCTTACACATAATGGTTAAGGAGAAAATGTCTGGTGAGAGGCATTCCCCAGAACATAGGTAGAAGCAGCAAGAACATCAATGCTGCTATCCCAAAGGACAGGAGACAGGATCAAAATGCAAAGAAGACTTTTGGAAAATGATATTTGAGATCTCCATCCTTCCACAATACAGGCTTAGCTGTATCACTACACATGTATTGATATTTTCAAAATGGAAAATGATGAGTGTCGTGGGGTTTAACCATATGTGTTATACTTACAATTGTGTGCATATGTGGGCTTTGACATGTACTATTTAACTTTGATGCTTAGATCTGATCTCCTCATTTTGGCAAACTTAAATACTATTGTCATCTATTAACTTGTTGTCCTGTATAAAAAAAATAACTGAATATTTGGAATATAAATGAATATTTGATTGGAGATTAGACTAATATGTTACCGGTGGTTTTTAAAACAAATATTGTCAGAACTTTGAATGATCAACTTGATGACAGGATATATTAATCACCAGAGTATCTTGAAGCCAATTACAATTAGTAAGATCACTATTTGTATTGAGAAAGAATCCATCATCTCATCATAACTTACCTCGTCCAAAATTTCAAGGTTTACCAGATCATCATCTGGAGAATATTTGTCAGAAGCATCAATGTGATATGGTCTGCGAATATGCATTTGTTCATGCCTGTAAAATGGTTGGAGTACCTGTGTGAAAAATATTACTCCTAAAAACGACATATGAAAAAAAAAAACTATAATACTTCAAGTTGCAGCTTGTATTTTCCATAGGTCTGGGAAACATTTAATGAGGTCATGTCTTCTGGAATATTTTCAGAACTTCACAATACCATAGTTTTACCTTTTTACCAATCCACCATGGTTATTCATCAATTTTCAATCAAAATAAAATGAATAATACATGGCAGGGGTGTCAAACTGGATTTCTTCGAGGGCCAGATCAGCATTGTAGTTCTCCTCTGCGGGCCAGGACAGATGCCTCCTGTAGCACCCTGCTGGCCAAAACAGGGCATGGGGTCCATGCGTGCTCCCCCCACACCTCGTTTTTGCCCTCCATGGTCTCCGGCAGCACTTTGCCAGCCGATAACAGGCTGCATGGCCCATTTTCAGCCTGCTTTTTGACCCATTTTTGACCTGTTTTTGGCCCGTTTTTGGCCTGGTTTTGGCCTAATTTTAGGCCCGGTTTCAGCCGGCAGAGTGAAAAGGCATGCAGGGGGCTGCATGCAGCCCATTTTAGCCACCAGAGGCACAGCAGGCCAGTCCCTTGATATTTCCAGGCCAGCCCCGCAGGCAGGATTTGGCCCCTGAGGGCCAAATCTGGCCCATAGACCTTGAGTTTGACACCTCTAATATATGGATATGTGTCCATCCTGATTATAGCAAATAAAATGTGTACTCTGAAGCACTTGCCAATGATCTTCACATACACAGAACAAAATGACATTTCTCTGTATACCTGATTGTTCATTGCAGATGCAATGTCCTATTTTTTTTAAGGTTATACACTTAAAAAGTTCTTCCCAAGTAATGCTTGCATCTCTGAAAGATGTCTATGCTTTATCACTGATGTATTAGATTACTATACACACAGGGAGCTTATTTTAAATAGAAAATGCTCCAATATTTGATTCACACCAGTAATCGCCAGTGGTATAATCCAGAATATCATCAACTCCTTATCACCCATCCCCTCCTACTTGTGATTGTAGGACTGTAACTTTATCGCTTGTATCCTTACGATTTATATTGACTGTTTCCTAGTATGATTTGATTGCTTATTGTACCCTATGACTATCCTATGACTATCATTGTACCTTATGATTCTTGACTCTTTTATGTACGCTGAGAGCATTTGCACCAAGACAAATTCCTTGTGTATCCAATCACACTTGGCCAATAAAATATTCTATTCTATTCTATTCTATTCTATTCTATTCTATTCTATTCTATTCTATTCTATTCTATTCTATTCTATTCTATCTCAGGCTACAACCAGAACTCAGGCTATTCACCATCATATGTAACATTTTTTTAGTTAACAAATTCAAAGCAATTCATCTCTAATCTAAAAAAATTATCAATCTCCATCGCTTTCACTTTATCTCAGTGTGAGTTAATTTATTATTCACTTGAAGCCATTATAAGTTTGCTATATTCTTTTTTTCCTCATTTTCCGCACCTCAACTAAATTGTTAGCTTATTTGCTAGAACTACAATAAAAATATAAATGTATTTAACTTGCTATATCGAAATTTGTAAAAGCATCACTTTGCATGACAGTTGAAATGGATACTTTCTTGGCTATGATTACATGGACAATACACTGTATTTGAAAATAGAGATTGGCATCTTTTGTTCTCCCAGTGTCCAAAGTGGTGAAATATTTATACTAGAAATATGTTAACATACTAGGTGGCGCAGCATATCCATCGAATGCTCGAATGCTTTCTAGTCTTGCAACCAATATTATCAAAGAGGATCTACTCAGATACAACACAACAAGCATAATGTTGGCTTACATTTCTCCTTGATCCTCAACAACAATCTACAGATTTTCCCTGTTTCAAAATAAATACTAATCTAATGACACTGGAGCCAATTAAACCAAAACCAAATTCAGTAAAACTTACTAGCAATTTTCAGGGTAGTTCACAAACCTTGTTCCAAACATTTTGTTTCCTATATTAATATTCAGGACTGAACTTGGCTAGTGAAAGATATTTTATAATTTATTATTTCAGTACATTTGAGGGCTTCTATAATATTCTTAGTAAAAATGATAGAATCATAGAAAGTATTTAAGAATTTTATTTCGTTCCCCACATAGATTTTATGAAAAAAAACTGTAATAAGAAAGGAATTTGATAAAAAGCCATATGAAATTCATTTAAACAATACAATGGATTGTTTGTTGAAAAGAAGTTATAAAATATAAAGCCCTGCAAACAAGCAATGTGTGATTTATGTTTTTGTTCAGAATTTTTTTTTAATTCTGGCACAGGCACAAAGGCTTATATTTGTTTTTGTCCCAATATGGGTTGTTTTGTTATACAAAATGTAAGACCTTTTCCTTACTTCTAATTTTAATGTTAATTCTATGCTTATCTATTTCCTCCTTATTGTCTTACTACCTATCTTAATCTAGGATCTTCCTATTACTGAAAGAATATCTCTACATTCTATGCCTATATAGTCTTATCCAGGGGTGGGCTTCAAAAATTTTAGCAACTGGTTCTCTGCCCAGTTGCTGTGTGGGCGGGGTCATGGTATGTATGGTCTAGTCAGCCTCCTGAACCATGATGTGGGAGGGCATTTTTGCCCTCTGGAGGCTTTCCTCGAGACTCTGGGAGGGCAAAAATGGACTCCCAGGGCTCTGGGGGCTCTCTGGAAGCCAGAAACGGGCCCATTTCCGGCCTTCCCGAACTTTCTAGATGCACAGAAGGCATTTGATAATGTGAATTGGCGATTCATGTTGTTACTGCTGGAACAGATGGGCTTAAATAAATAACGATAAGATAAAGATCTTGACAAACAATATGCTATCAAGACAAAAGGAAGAACTGGCAGACCTATTGAAAATTCAGGTCACGAATAAGATCAAGTACTTGGGGATATATTTGACAGCAAGATGCAGTACACTAAAAGAAAATAATTATATCAAACTTAAACAGCAGATAGCGCTAGATTTGGCGAAATGGGAAAATTTACAACTGTCATTAATAGGGAGAATATCAACAATCAAGATGAATATATTACCCAGAATTTTATATTTGTTTCAAACAATTCCAATTAGGCTTAGGAAAGACTATTTTGAAGATTTAAATAAAATTGTGTTGAAATATATATGGAAAGGTAAGAAAGCGAGAATAAAGTTAAAACTTTTGCAAGATGCTAGAATAAGAGGAGGATTTGGTTTGCCTAATTGGGAGTTGTATTACCAAGCTACAAATTTGATGTGGGTTAAGGAATGGATAACATTAAGAAATACTAGATTGTTGACATTAGAAGGGCATGATTTGTTGTTGGGGTGGCATGCTTTTCTATGGTATAAAGGAACTAAAACACAGGGGTACTTTAGAAGACATTATATACAGGAGTCTCTGTTGTTAAACTGGGAGAAGATTAAAAGACAATGTTATTTGAAAATTCCAGTCTGGCTATCGACTATTGAAGCATTTTCTTATCCTATAATATACAAAAAGGAACAAACAGTTAGATATGGTGAAATATTGAATGAAAAGGGTGAATTTAAATCTATACAAAAACTAGAGGAACAAGGTATAAAGATGAATTGGTTTTCATATGCGCAAATACATTCAAGGTATGATAAAGATTTTAAAACAGAAGGTTTCTATGATAAACTGACTGATTTAGATAAGATTTTGACAGGTACTGATGAAAAGGTGATTAAAAAATTGTATGGATATTTATTAGAAATTAAACTAGAAGAAGAACAAATTAAAGAAACTATGATTGCTTGGGGGAAGAATTTTGGATATGGGATTGATCTAGAGAAATGGCAAAAATTGTGGTCTCAAAATTATAAAATGACAATGTCAACAGCATATAAAGAAAATTTGTATAAGATGTTTTACGGGTGGCATTTCCCCCCAACAAGAATAGCAAGAATGTTCAAGAATAAATCCGAAAAATGTTGGAAATGTCATCAGACACCTGGCTCATATTACCATATGTGGTGGACTTGTGCGGATGCTAAAGAATACTGGACTAAAATCCACACGTGGTTGGAAAAAATGACAAAAAAGCATATAGACTTGAAACCAGAGATATTTTTATTGGGAATTTTACCAGAAATATATAGTAAAGATTTGAAATACCTGATTGTAAATGTATTAACAGCGGCTAGGATTGTATTTGCTAAAAACTGGAAAAATGAGAAAATACCATCACAGGAGGAAATTATTAAGAAAATATTGGAATGTGCTGAAATGAGCAGATTGACATTTGAAATTAGAGAACAGGATGATAAACAATTTTATAAAGTTTGGGATCTATTCTATCAATGGTTAGACAATAAAGTATAGTAATGAAATATGTAGACTTTTAGAAAATACTAAATATATAAAGATGTATTCTTTTCTTATTATATCTACAAAATGTTTTTAGGATAGATTTGGGATGATAATATGAATTGTCACAAAACAAATTAAGTAAAACATGATTATTTTCCAAAGCATGAATGAATAAAAGTATAGTCAAATGATTGATTAATAATAATACCAATGTATTTAATATTGGATTGAAAATATGAGATCATATACAATCTAATTGTAATTGAAGACTACAAAATGGAAGCACAAAACAATTTGTAAACCAACCGGCACACTGTATGTACATATATGGAAGATGGCCTGATCTTTTTATGTTTTGTTTGTTTATGTTTGTTTTAAAACCAATAAAAAAATTATTTAAAAAATATCATATTTGTGAAGCTGGACTGATCTGCAACAAATACATAAACTGTACATTTGCCAAAGTATTTTTGGAGCCCACAAAACTGAAAAGGATATATTTGGTGGTATGACTTAATTATACAGAACAGAATTACAAGAGCTCATTTGACTTTGGGAAGGTATAAAAGCCACAGGCAAGAAGAGGGGAAAAGTTACTGCTTTAGAATCCGTCCTCAGTACATTTATGTTCTGA